TTCAGCAGAGCCTGAAAGAAGTCTATGGGAACATTTCTATCAAAGCCAGTTATGTTTAACAGATAGTGTTATTTACAGCTGGTTCAATTGCTATGGGAAAATTATCAATTGACTCTTGACTTCAGTTTTTCCTCTCTACCACTAGCCTAAATAAGAACTATTTTGCAACAAAGTAAAATTGTCCTCCCTGGAAATTAGTCATTTAGATTACTGTGGCCTTCTAGGAGGAGAGCATCTGTACATAAAAGAATATTTGAATATATACGGTTGTCTTAATTATGATACATTTCTCCTTCTGGTGTTCCAAAACTGTATCAAGAATAAAATAAAATAAATATGACACAGATTAATAAATCAAGTCAGACGTGAAAATACTTTTAAGCCCTATACTAATTCATTATGGACAGATTTATTTATAGATCCATCTGGAATGCGATGAAATTTGATCACTCATTTGGTGCGCATACTTCTGGAATTGATACAAGCATTTTTCAGCTAAGTTAAGACAAGTTAATAATCCCATGGAAAGCCAACATCACTTCCTTTAACCTACTCTGAGACTTCACTGATTAAAGAAGAGATATTTCAATGCTAAAGAGCACAGTATTGTCCAAGAAAGTGAGGGTGAGTATAGAAAGAAAACTTTCCAAAAAGATGCAGAGAAAAAAACCAAACAACTTTGGGTGAGTCTAGGCAGTGAGCCGTGTACTTTTAAAGTTCATCTCCTGAGGTCCTTCTTCCTATTGTGCCTCTCATGCAACATAAATTCCCCCCAAATTAATGGTGTGCTTGATTTATCAAGGTGGCTATTTTTCACAGATTCTTGCCTGGTCTTTAAACGACACAATATTCACAGCACAATTTAGGAAAAATTTACAATTTATTGCAGGAATATAATCCAGCAAGGCTACAAAAGTCATTGAATGCATGTGAAAGTATAGCTCTTAAATTGAATTTACCAGCAGTACTCTGTCAGTGAGCAGGCAAGTAGGCCAACAAAATGTCTACAAGAAAGATTACGGACACTGTGAAAGATGTCTAAAAACTGTTTGAAAATCTGAAAAAACCCTGCCATTACGGTGTTAAAGCTTACGAACACTAGAGGTTCAGCTGAAGAGAGGATCTGACTGCAGTCTGGTCTTCTGATCTGAGTATAGCACAGCTCTACTTTATAATGTACTGTATTTTAGGCCTTAATGTATCTATTCAATGAACCAATGAACTATACTTCATCAAGATAAACCCCTTTGTCTATGTTTTTTCTGAATCATGCGCTCATCAATGTTTGCCTATGCTTTTAAACAAATATTGATGGCATAAATGGAAGCAAATCCAGAGGAAACAATTTTTCATTTTTTTCCTGGTATAGACAAAGCTTCTAAAAGTAGAGAGACAGTTTCTTCAGACAACTAAATCTGTTAATGGTGAGCCTCATTCACAGCACTCTTTAACATCATGTTATCTTACGAAATTATGTAATTTAATTATCCATTATCTATTTGAAAATACTTCTTTGAAGATATACAATAAGAACATGATATTAAACATAATTACAAAAACAAACTATAAAATGACAGAATTAAATCGTTTATGCATTCATCCTCATTGCACAGATGAACATGACCCACCATAGTGGCTCACAGAAGAACTTTGATTCCTATGACATTTTGACTAGCATATTGTAAATGACATATTCTTTGAATGGCGAAGACATCAAAAGGTAAAGGAAAATGGCTATTTATAATGTAGGGGAGCATTACTTTGTTCAAAGCTGTGAATACAATGAAACTATCTGATTTTCCATATGAAATAGGCACAGTCATAAAAAGGTTTATGGCTATATTATGAACAGCTGCTCAGGTCTTATCTAATTTGAAAGATGCATTGTAGCCAAACTAAATGGCTTAGTGAAATGTGTTTAATACTTGTATTAAAAATTGCTTTAGACAGGAATAGAGAAATAGCATGTCTTAAACGAGTAAGTAAGAAAAGTTTCTTAGCTAATAAATCAGTGAAGAACACCTGGCTTCAATACTAAATTTTACCATCTAAAGATGTAACTCCTATTGTGGTTTGGGCCTTAATGGATTCACTAAAATGCTCAATCTTTGGTAGGCAAATGTGTATTTTGGAAATTATTTTTCATTTTACCCTTTCTTCATCCTCTGTCCTTATTTATATCTTCAGTGTATTTGTCCAGACTCAGAAAAGGATTCAAGGACCTGAAGGGAACTTTCATTTTGGGTGTAGGCACATACGTTTTGATGTGACTCTTGACACCAGTCACTCAGCTTCTGTGTGACCTTGATGGGGCCCAGATGCTGTCAGTGAGAGACTCCTGATGCTCCTGATTCTGCTTTTACCCCCAGTACCTGTTTTGACCACGCTGATCAGTTCTGCACTTAGTCTTCCCAAATATCATCAGAAGTAGTACACTTTGTGTTCTGCTCCCAGTCTCATCCTAGCTAATCAGGCTGGTAAATGTTTTTGGAGCATATGTAATGAAGAGTGTGTTGACAAATTTCAGATACGGCTGATTTCTCCTTTAAACCAGGCAGGCCTGCATTTTTCATTAAAAAACCCATTCATTTCTGTTACAGGTTCAAGGCCCTCTTCTGCCTAAATAAATTCAAATCTACATTGCATACCTCCAAAGAGCATATCCTAACCAGGTGCCTAAAAGCTAAGTAATACTTCAGCGTTTTGGATGGCAACTGTCTCAGGCACGACACAATGATTCACCACTATCCCAGACCATTTTCAGAATCACTGCACCTCTGGTATTACTTTTTACATTTTAAACATGACCTACATTCTTTAATCTTGTACATATAACTGTGTTTTAATATGATGCCAGTGACAATTTAACAATCACCTGAGGATCTGCGCAGTTTCCATTTTACATAATGATGCAAAAAAAAAAGCTTTTGTCTAGTCCCAGCCACTACATTGAATAACCTTTCACTGTGCAGAACATGCAAGTGAGTCTATTCTGTTTTTCTTTTCACACAATAAAATAAGAAGTGCTGCCTGAATTCAACTGGAAGTTTCTTGGCAATGTTACAAAATTTTGGGTAGTAACTGAGCTCCTAAATAAAGAGTTAGATATTGGAGAAATCAAGCATGAAGTGTGGCAGACGGCTTCAAGCCAGAAACTAGAGACGCTCCTCTCTCCTTTGGGGACACGTTGTGGCAGAGTGTCTCTGATGGATATTACTGTGAATTTAACTTGCAAATGAGTCGTGCAGATCCCATCATGTAAAATAATAAATACTGTCTTTCAAATAAATGCAAAAGTCTTAAGAAGACACACAGATCAGATACTCATAATCATTGTAGGCATCCTTGCAACTCCAATTTAACTAATTAACCAGTTTCACGTTGAAATTGGGAATGTTTAGCAGTGTGAGTTTCAGTTTTCATATCCATACAAGACAGAAAGAGTAACTACCACTTATTAAGGCTATCTGTTTACTTCATTACTGTAGATGAGCTTGGATAGGAGAGTATCAACAGAACATTTCTACTAGTAAAAAGGTTGCTATTTACCTTTTTAGTTTCCCTCCTACTGCTTTATGTAATATAATATCTAAAAATGCTAACTTAGGCCATCTGTTCATATTCCTATTTCCAGCACACTTTTTTTTTTTTTTTTTCTGTTTCATTCCCCTAGTTTAACTCATTTTAGCAGTACTGGAGCTCATTCTGTGACATTTTGCTACAGGGAAAATCCATGTTTATTTCCATACAATTTAATAGACCCAATCAAACAATGAATATGCAAATTCTGGAAATAGCAAAATTTGGAAAAAGAGAGCTGTGAAAAAAAAGAAAACTGTCTACTTATAAATACAGAACTGAAATGTTAGAGAGCAGCTGTAATGAATGTTACAACACAAAACAGTATTATAATTAGCCTCTAGACACTACAAAGGAATATATGAGAGACTGCCCAGATCAACAAATAGAATAAAGAAAAAATGAATGGGGACAGAACTAGAACTCTGTGAAGTTTTATAGATTAATAGTTTATTCGCTGCCAAAAGGAGAACAGAAGTGACAAGAAATATTTGCATATATGGATGGCATTTCAAGCAAAAAAGGGGACAATTTTCTATTTCAACATTTTGCTTTCTAAGTTGGTGAGAAGGACAAGAATAAGTGGCAAAAAGCCTGGCCTAAGCTTGGCTGGCATTACCTTTGGGATCCTGATGCCAAGAATCTCCCAGCTGCTTAAGCAAATTTCTGTCGGTACTTTGAAGCAGTGTAAAAGAACCAGGGCTGGGAACGTGATCTGACAGAACACATCTGAAATTCGGTTAAACCACCCTTGAAGAAAATGGAAGGAAATAACTAAGCAAACATGTTGTTATGTATAAATAACTCTGGGTCCTTGTGCAGTCATTGTCTGTTTAAAAGAGCCCAATTTATTTGTTTTCCCAGGATTTCCCTTCACAGATGCTGCAAAGAGATTTTTTTTCTGCTCTTTCTTTCTGCAGGATTGTGACTGCAATGTCCATCAGGGAGGATTATTTTGAGCAGTAGTCTCCCCATCTGTCGTCTCTTTTAAACAGTGTTAAGTAGTGTTTTTCCTCCCTGGAAAAACCGTCCACGTATTCTGTTACCGCTGTGCAGCAGCAGCCTGAAATGAACACCTAGGAAACGCAACTGAGTGGAGCAGTCTCAGAGAGCAATGCCTGTTTAACTGAAAGTAAGAATGGTCTTACATTCGGAGAGAAAATTATAGTCATAACAACAAAGAGTGCATCTATTAATGCACTGTAACCTGTGGCTTAAATCCCTTCATATCGCAACAATGCCCTCTGCCCACCAGAAATGCCCCTGGTTCTCCCCGCTGGCGAGGCCCCGGCGGAGGAGAGCGGGAGCGGCAGCCCAGCGGCGCAGCACTGCTCTTCCTCACCCGTCAGGAGCAGCGGTCCAAGCAGCACTGGGGGAGCTCCATCCTTCCCTGCCTGGGTACTTCAAAGCCAAACTCCGGGCAGTAGGGTGAGCTTATCTATTTCCAGAGTGGAAAGAAAGAAATTGCACATTAAAACCCTAGTAAAAAACTGCTGCAGGGCCAGTAGGATAATCAGCTTTAAAACAAGCTAAAGTTTCTTAATTTATGATTTCCCATATCTCCCCTGAGGTCTGTGAAATTTCTGTTTTGAATCTAAACTTGTGAGCTTTGCCACACCTCTCTGTGTTTTTCCTAGAATCTGTTTCATAGACCCTGATGAATAACACATAAATAAGTAAATGTTTTGCCGGTGGTTATGCAAACGTGCTACCTCAGAGGCACAAAAAATTGCTTCTGTTATTCCTCAGTGTTGCTCTGAAATTATACAAAACTTAGTTAAGAAGCATCTCTGAAAAAAATAACCACTTCATTTCCCTTTGAGTTCTAGTTTAAATAATGGTGCAGATGCCTACTGCTAAACATCCAGATACAAAAGCAGCAGGTTAGCCTTTATTCCTGGATCCACTCCGACATCACTGTTGTTGCCATCATCTGGCAAAGGTGGAAGTGTACAGGCCATTAGTTTCTTGGCTTGCTCTTTGGGAAAAGTATGAAAAATTAAATCAATATTTGCTGAATGAAAAATATTCAGGAAAACACATCTGGGTTTATAGCTTCTGAGACACTACTCTAAAGAAAGAGGAGTGTGTAACATGTAACCAATAATTAAAAAGCACTTGAAAGCCTCCTTCTAATGGTTCCTTGCGGTATCAGTTCACTAGTGGATACGCTACTGTGTCAGAGGACAGTACACTTCATTATCAAGTGGATACATTTTCGGATTCTGCCATTTTAATTTCTGCCTGCTTCTAAGTATCTGACAGTAACAGTAGATACAGGAATATTCAAAACGAAGCTTTCTCATAGTACTTGGTCTAATTCAATTCTTCTTGTTTTGCTTTATTTTTTATTAATATATACACTAATATTCATTTTAGTCCAAGCCCCTGGAATAATAGCACACGCATGTCATGGCCTTCAGATTTCAAACTAAGCAATGCCACCTAATCATGATTATCACATGATCGATATTAATAATAGCACAATTGTTCAATAATTACCATTGCTAATAATAATCAGTATCCTAACCTGACTAGACGTTATAGTGTTTTGTATGTTTAAATTTATTTGAATGCACATATTTTTTCAGTTATTTTTGCTTCAAATTACCAAAGTTCTAATGGGATTGTGTTGAAACATGAACTCATTAGTTGTAACAGCCCCTCTGATAATAAAGCCTTTACTGTAAGAGAACTGGGAAACTAAACTAGCTTCCTTTGAAAATAAAGGCAGCTTACAGATGAATTTTTTTTTTTTTTTACCATGAGAAGGTGCACGAAGGACCTAGCACACAAAGCAGGCACAAATAAATAAAAAAATAAAATATGCCCTGAGAAGCTGCCAGTGATGGTATTTTACAATTAATTTTATTACTTTAATTTTTTTTATGCAAAAGAAATAGTAATTATAGCTATTCTCAGTCTGGTTTAGCTAGCAGTTTCACATTTTACATTTTGTTGTTAATAAAATTCTATACTAGAGGAGACTGGACACACCACGACCACGTTTGTGGACGACACCAGGCCGGGGCAAGCTGTCAATGTGCTTGAGGGCAGGGCTGCCATTCAGAGAGGCTTCAGTAGGCTGAAGGAATGGGCCAACAGGAACACCATGAAGTTCAGCAAGAAGAGGTACAAAGTACTGCATATATGGGATGGACTAATCCCCACCAAGGCAAGGGCTGGGGACTGACTGGCAGGGAAGCTGAAAAAGGGACTGCTGTGTGATGGCAGTGACGAAGGCAAACAGTAAGGAGGTCACCATTCACCTCTGCCTGGCCCTCATCAGACCACATCTGGAGCATCATGTCCTTTTTCGGGATCCCAAGACGAGAAAGTTATTGATAAACTTGAGTGAGTCCCCAGGGGGGCATGAAAGTGGCTGCACATGGAGCAGCTCCCCAGGACCCCCAGGGAGGTGGCTCAGAAGGCAGTGCCAGAGACAAGGGTCGTTAATCGAAGCGGGGTAAAAAATAACTCACTATGAGTATCATTAAGGATTGGAATGAATTGCCCAGAGAGGTTCCGAAATCTCTGTCCTTGAAGCTTTTCTAGACCTGGCCAGGCAAAGTCTGGTTTAAATTCAGTCAGTGCTGACACTGCTTTTGAGCAGGAGGCTGGATGAGAGACCTCATGCCGTCCCTTCCTGCCTGGCGTCCGATTCTATGAGTACACCCCAACAATGCACTCAGGCCTCAGGTTTCAGCCTGACGATAAGTTGCTTTTTTCTATGACAGGTTTTTAGAGAGATTTTGCGTTCTCAGTCCCAGTTCTGAGAGCTTTCTAGTGCTGAAAGGAGTCAAGTACTAAATTCCTACGATTTCTGTGCTTCCTGTCGCTGTGTGGCCTCAGAGCAGCTCCTGAAGCCTCACTGCATCTCAGAAAATAAACGGTGGCAGCCAGTTAAGGCCCAAGATGTGCATATAAGCCTTCTTACGTTTCTTCCAGTTTACACTTGACTTACTAAGCGGCATATATGGATGATATAGAACTACATCACCTCCCTTTGATGAGTCACTGTTTAAAATATATGAGGAAGTTTATATTTGGGGGCATTAGGGTTCTTGAAAACTTAAAACCATAGGGAAACATTGAAACGAAATCTGCTAACAGGTAAAAGCTAGGATTTAGGCTGCAGCTGAGATCATCACACAATCTACATTTCAGTGGAGGAGTGATTCAGATCTCATTTCTCTGTTATTACATGGTCTGTGTCATTTATAGGTGCAAAAGAGGACGCCATAAGAGAACGATGCTACTCTTCAATGGTTACAAAACAACCACACAAAAAAGACAAGTAGACAAACAAACAGGAAAGAGGAATAAAAGCCTTACGGGTCTCTTCCAGTCCCAGCAATTTGAAGAGATTTTCAATGCAGTTACAGTTCTGAGTATGTCGTAAGTAATACAAGACCAAATAACACGAAAAGTAATCAGGTTCAGGTTTTTCTTAGGAATATTTTCCTGAAAGCCATTACTTAGCAGTGGACTTTCATGTCAGAAACCTGAACTTGAGAGACAGAGATGAAAAGAGACTATAAACTTTAGGTAACATCCTTGGACATCACTTTCTTTTCCTTCATTTTCTTTTGATCTTGTAAACAATACTCCTGATTTCCCATTACTTTTTCTCCATTTCCTTTTTAAGTCATACGCCTGATTTCTCATTACCTTTAATATGTGTGGTTTTCCTAATTATTTTTTTCTCATCTAAATAATGAAAAATGCATGCCTTTATTTTTGTGGCATCAAATGTTTTCATTGCCCTTTAACCTATCAAATGAATGAATTTCTATCAGTTCTTACAGATAAAAAGGTATGTAGGAGGCTGCCTTTTTACTTTTGTGTTTAAAAGCTTAACTGAACAATTCTCTGTTTGTTTCATCTCAGCCCATTATTTAACTTACACACAGCACTTACCTATCGGTCAGAGAAAGCAACATTGAAGGGAGCTCATATACATATTTGACCTCAGCAAAGAGTTCCAGTGCTCTGGCGTTCCTACCATAGGAAATTTTTTCTGAGTTATCCAAAGATAATTAATCTAAGAAGCTGTGATAAATATCTGTCATCCTACAAAACAGAAATAGCAGCTATTCCCTTCCTTATTCCACCAGCACATATTTGAAAACTTGGCATAATTCCTTTCAGACTAAACTGCATTTACCCCATTTCTTCACTTTTCCTTTGAAAACATTTTTCAAGACTTCTGGCCATTCTTTCTGAGCATGCTGAAATTCATCATATTTTTTCAGATCCGCTTCTATGTTTTTAAGGTCTAACCCTATTCCCTGCCGTGCCCAACCCGCTCCTGCCTCTGGCTTGGCATCTTCACTGAATATAGTAAGGATATTATTCATATTATCATCCAGATCATTAATTAATATATTTAGTAATAAAAAGTCCAGAATAAACACCTGATGAATCCTACTCAGTACCCACCTGCATTTAAAAAGCAAACCATTGAAAATAACTGAGAACAAATTTCTAGAACCAGATCATATATCCCTAGTTTGCTCATGAGAATATCATACACAATATCAAAAGCCCAGAGTCAAAACGTGTACTCCTTGCCTGCTAGCACAGGTGGTCTGCTATCAGGTGTCATTTCCAATGTGTATTTGCATCCACTGTATGGAATGTGATCCTTCAAAACGCCAGAAGTTTGTTTACAGAGATCAAAAGAGCTCACCCTGAACAGAAAACACGGTCACACTACGAGACTTCTTCTTCCGCATTATATAAAGGCAGAAACATGAACAAAAAATAAGTTGACCTTATCACTCAAACGACACATGAAAAACAGATGTTGAATACTGTATTGATAACTATTTATACTGTCGTGTATCCTTACTCTTGCATAATTAATATAACACTGTAGCATAGATTTTTTTTTTTCTGTTTTTTTTTTATTTCTTGAAAGGAGAGAATGGACTGCTTCCTTTCTGCAGGAAAAAACATTCTTTATGGCCTACTACTTCCATTAATGTTTTGGAGGAAGATACCAAAAGCCATTTGGAATGATTACACAGAACGGACATAACATTCTCTTGGCAAGGCTGCCTGTAAGGCTTTCACAGCAAAGGCTGCACAGAGCTCAGTACTCTGGATCCATTCCTGATGCAGGCATTCCCGCTCCACTCAACCTGCACAAACACATATGTGTGCCCAAATGTGTTCTTCCACAAATGGCAGGATGTTTTTCCTCACGTTTACTTGGGGAGGAGGTACTGCCTTGCTGATGGAAATAGACTTTGGATATTGCAGTCACAGGAACTAATGATGCATCAAAATACATCTTAAGAGTATCTAAACTGTCTAAAGGAAATACCGAGTCTGGCATGGAAATACAGAGCTTTTTGCTCTGTGTTAGTGAACACTAAGTAAAACGTCAAACCTACATTGTATGTCAAATCAGATTTTCACCACAAAAGGGATGACAACCACAGAAAAAGTCACTGAGGCTGGGTCTGACAGAAAGAGTGGCATGCTCTGAATGTTTGCTGTAATACAGACATCGGAGACCAGTGTCTTAAAATACTCACTGATGAACAAAGTCAGGTTTTGTGTTGCTAAATCTCACCTTTTTACTTTTAGATCTCACCTTCCTGGTATGAGAGAAAATCAGGGACAGCAAAAATATCTTTACTGAGAAAACAGTGATTACAGTTGTGAAAACTGACATTCTGAGGTCGAACTGTTTTCTGTCAAGTAGTGACCTTTCCTTGCGTTAAAGAAAAAAGAGGCTGCACCTCCTTGTGCAAAGTAAGACCCGGACTTAGATGTTATAGGCGGCAGTTAAACATGCTCTTAATTCTCATCAAAGTTTGTGAGACTTGAGCTTGGGCTTTATTCTAAGCACACATCTCAAGCTGCTTCCTGTGGCCTCTTGTGTCAGGAATTTGCAGGCTTTACTCTTCTGAAAAATACATATATTTGTGGAAAAACTGATAAAATACTTCTTTCAGAAAAAAGTAATCACTCGTAAGATAGATGAGGTCTTTTTCTTGTGAGGAAACCAAGTACCTGGTGTCGATGTTCTTGTTGCATTACAGATCGGGGAAAACTAATGAGCGAATGAACCATGTATTCCTGGTCTATGAGAATTCTAATTCTTCATCTGGGAATAAAAATAATATTGTAGATGCGCACAGTTTAAATGAACAGATCTCGCATCCTCAAGAGTGCTATTTTTTGGTAAGAGTAAATAAGAAAAATTCTTAAATTTTTAATTTTCCAAAAGCATAAAAAAAATCACACTCTATAAAGAAATTTAAAAGATGAAATTGAAGAATTAAAGAAAAAATGCAGGACTCTATTCGTCACTTTATCACTCTCCAATACCTTAATATAAAATAGAGTGATAGCGAATGCTTTTAATATAATGGCAAACTGGCCATTAGCAGTATGAAATAACTGAGCGTTGATAGCTCTCTGTTCTATATACAGTGCTTTAGAACATTAACATATCATTTACAGAACACGTGAATCCTGCCCATTGTGAGTGTACAAAGATGAAAACGTATTTGCAAGCATATTGGCCCATCAAATGTGCTGTTTCTTAGATGATTTCAAGAATAGCTGTTGGGTTTCATTCCAATACACATATATTCAAGTACCAGAACATAGTTATTGAAAAGTACCCTTTCAAAATTATTTCCTCAAAGTTCTAATGTGTCTTTCCCTTTGGTATTCAGTGCTGCTTCCGTACACGTTGTATTTCTTCCTCTGTCACGGCTAAATAGAGAATACACGCAGTTACAAGTTTACTTATGCCGTGCAGGTACTGAAAGATAACTTCCAAAAGAAGCGTGCAAGTAGGTTGAGTGACCACTGATCATGATCAGACTCGAAACAACGGAACTAAACTTGTCGTGCTGCAAGTACGTATTATGTGAACAGGGTTCCCTCGTGCCTCCCTGGAAAGATTCGGGCATCATCCCAGAAGTGACAACAGCATTGCCTGGCTGCCGTCCCTCCCTCTTTACTCTCGGGGGCGAGAGAAGGACAACTCCAGCGTTCTCCTTTCCCCTTCAGGCCGGTGCTTGACTGCAGGAAGGGGAGGCTGCCCTCCTGGGACGGTTTCAAAAGCCATGGGTCTTACACTTAGAGACTTAGCACAAGGTATGGGGAGAAAGCTATAGTTCGAACACAGGGTTTTGACCTAAGCTCTTTACGCAGTACAAACACGCTCAAAATACTGCGCACAAGAAACCCTGTTAAAGTCTAATATATATGAATATATATCAATATATCGCTCCTGAAAATCATGCTTTTTTGAAACTCTTGTGGAGCAGAGACTTCTCTCAGGCATTAATACAACTGTTCAGAAAACAACCATTATTGCGTTCCTCAGAAAGGAACTTGTATCTTAGTATGGTGAGTCCTTCGCGTAAGAACGTAGTGTAACGGAACTGGGTCCTCTAGCTTATATTACAGGATAAGAAAGCTTTCTCGGGTCAGTGGCAGGGAGATGGGGAATGCAGCTTGCCGAAAGAGGTTTATGATAAGAGAATCTTAGATGTTTACAGCACAAAATTGCATTTGTTAAGTCTGTTGCTGGCAGGAGCTTGTACATCTCAGTACAGTGAGAGAGCGCTTAGCCAAAAACTTGTTTTCTTTACTGTTTTAGCACAAGATCAAAGCATATAAACAAACACGGTAGTTTGGGTTTGTGTTTTGGTTGTATTTAGGCTACCAGCATTTTTTCTTGTAAGTCAAATACTCAGAAAGTGATTGCTTGGAATAGAAACCTGATGAAACAGTTTAAATAAAAATCTTTCTGAAAAAATGTTCACTTTGCATAAAAACCTGAAATACCACGGTATACGTATTTTAGGAAAGAATTCCCATTTTTTAATTGCTGAGCTCTAAAATAATTCTTTAAAAAATAATTTCCCAAGCAACACAAGATTTTGGCTTTTTTAAAAATGCAGTAGGTTGAATCCTCTAAGAAGTTAGCTTCAGCTTGATCGCTTTCTTGAAAGAATAATTATTTTCACATTTTTAGTCTTATTTTTTCTTTTATTCTGACAGCTCAAGTGAATCATCTTAATTCTAATAAATAGCACTGAAACAACGCTGAAATGATACTTCTTCAGTTAAATACTAAAATGCATCGGGAGTCCTACTCTGCCAATCTAGAATATCCATATTCTACACAACAATACGCAATTTGTCTGACGCCTCCAGTATTTACCAGAGTCAAGTAGCAGTGAGATTCAATATTAAGAAGTTACTATTTTTAGTTATATATCAATAAATAATTAGATTTAAGTTACCTTTGCCAAAACAGACAGATCTGTATTTGGATACATGATACGCTACAGTTTGAGTTCATCTACTTAGTACTGATACGAACGTATAAATTGATGCAGTTGCAATAATGTTCAGTTAGACTCGATTAAAAAAGCTTTGAAAGGCCCAGATTTCCTGTCCATTGGGAAGTCAATAATCACCTCTAAACTGTGATTGTAGTCTAGCACTAAAGAGGGTACTTTCTATTCAGTCCACCTCCATACCACTCTTGCATGAAATATCTGTATTTTGTGCATGTGAATTAAAAGAGAAGTAGACGTCTGGGTCTTCAAATGAAATGTCCACTCACAGTCCCCTGACTTGGCAGAAAGTAGTCAGACCTGACAGTTCCTGCTCTAGTGCAGAGTTTTCTTTATCAGTGAGATAATAAACTAATAAGCTAATAGGAAAACACACACCCCCTCCCACACACAACCACAAACACATATGTACGTTGATAAATGTACAAAAACATGAGCTACCTTTCTTCTAGGAGTTTTGCAAGGTTCATTTCTAGTTGTTTCCATTTTTAAATATACGTTTATACCCCTACAGAAAATGTATTAGAAGACAGGCCACAGGACAAGTGAGACACTGTGTCAAATCCTAGAATTCCACCTAAGAAATGTTTTCTATTGGATGCTATTTTCCTCAGGAGCTCAGTACTAGTGTATTTCCCCAGGGCTACAATATGCTAGGAGAATCTTGGAGGAAACCAAAATGTTATCAATGTTATTACTACTGCTATAAAATGTATATTTATACATAGCTTTAAATGAGCTATTTTTTAAAATATCTGGATTCATGCAGTTCAAAAGGCTTTTTTTTTTAATAACTAGGATATATTATTTCTGGATAAAAATAATTTGAAACATTTAATGTATTTTTCTAAGCATCAAAACATTACTTGATATGTAATTAACAGTCTCCTAAATCATCACTAGACAATTTAGCTACCGAGATGTTTCCTTCTCTTGCCTTTAAGAAACCATCCTTAACATGACCCATAGAAAACAGTAACCTCTTACCCAAATCTTATGCCATTTGAGAGAGAGTGAAGTTAGCATTTTTTTTGTCTTTTGTCTAAAGCAACACAAGGCATTACAAGCTGAAACAGAAAGAACTTCCAGATACGAACATGTGATAAAGAAAAAAAAAAAAAAAAAAGTAATCTTTTTTGTGGATAAACTGGCAATACGTTGACGTTGACCGTGTCCTTTTATTACTTTACCTATCTTTTATAACACTTTTATTTTTGCATTTGCTTTTTCATATCTATCTTTTGTCTTCTTTGTTAATGTATGATGTAATGTTTGATACACAGGAAAAAATAATTTTAGAGTAAGGAAAAGCCATGTTTTCTTTGGGCTTAAAGATGCAGACACCTAGAGAAATCAATGGGAGCTGAGTACCTCCTTGTAAACGGACAAGCTGTCTGCCAAAGTATAGTAAGATACTCTTGTGAATATTTTTCTGGTCTGATACAGAAGGCATGTTTTTGGAATAATCACTTCTGTGTTCAATTATTTTTTCATAAGACATTTTTTCCATAAAAAATCTTTAAGCCATTTCTTGTGAAGATATCACATTGGTGCTCAGGGGCAAACTACTATGTGGGATTGGTTTATCACACAAAAGGTATCAGGAAAACATTTCACACTAGGCAGTGTCCTCATGTAAATTTGGTCCTTTGTGATAATTTATTTTGACGGAATTCTAAAACATGACTGTCTGATCTGAGCTTGTGGGCACAAAAAGCAGAACCCTGTGCTTCAAAGACAACATGTTCGAAGAGAAAATAGGTTATTAGATTTTTGTTTTCTGCAGCAGTTATATCTGCTACAGATAAACAATTTTTTCCCCAACAAAGGTTATAATCAGAGATTATAATATTGGAATGCATTAAGCATAAAACCTGGTTTTGCTTTCTCTTCCTTCAGACCATGGTTGCAAAGGACTGCAAGGATAATTTTGCATTTGAAATTACTTACAGCCAAAATTGCTGTTGCTTGATTATTGCTGGATAACTTTTATGTATCGTAGTCAAGTATTTTGATATCTAAACGTTGTTAGCTCTGATATCTACTATCTAGGAGCGCTGAAAAACCTGACTTGGCCTTTGTGTGGTCAACTGACTGTGTCAGAGGCCGAAGACCCTAATTCCCACTACCTAAGTTGGTGCCTAAATGTCAAGTGCACACATCCGAAACCAAATTAAAGTAGATGCATCCGAGATGAAAAATTGATCATAAAATTATGATGCAAGTTTTAATATGCAGAACAATCTACACAATCTTCAGTGTATGCTTGTCCATCAAACCCCATTCATATCCAATTAACAATGTGAATAGAAGGTACAGGTAATAAAATACCTACAGGAATAATATTATCAATGGGCTATATCTCTGTACATCTTAATGAACTCTACGCAGTCAAGGTATTACAGTATCTAACTCCTTTTGACGTACCCTCTGTGTGATGGGAAGCCTGGGAAAAAACGCTTAAGATTTGACGTCAGCAGGTTTTTCTTCTGCTGCAGAACCCTTGCCTCTCTCAACAAGAATAATGAGCTGACCCTCTGGAGTGAAACTGCACAACAGTTTTGTAGGAAGTCCAGGAGCTATTTTCAGGCAAGAAGGATGTGAAACATTTTGCTATGGGACAAATTTCAGTAAATAAAGTGCAGTGCGAAGCTGATATTCCCTATGTTACAGCAGATACAGTAACTATTTGCACAGTTCAAATTCTTAGCTACCAACAATTGTGATTCCTTCATCAAAATATACACAGCATTGTTAACCTTCAAAGGAATGCTTTGATAACTAATGAGAAAGATTACAGCAATAGACTTTTTACAAGGGCACGTAGCGATAGGACATGGGGTAATGGCTTTCAACTGA